TTTTTTTCTTCGCTTTAGATCGCGCGGGCGTTGCCCACGGATCATCGCTGAGACGCATTGACCAGATTAGTCCGCAGCACAAGAAACAAAAAAGAGGGGGAGTTGGGAGGAGGCGGAGGAGGAGGACAATTAATATTATGACAAGGAGAGGGGTGGTAGGAAGAGGAGGGGGGGGAGGAACGACAGCAAGAGGAGTTCGGTTATCCTTGCTTGATGGGCGGTTCTGTCGACAGCATTGCCGCTCGCGTTCGCGGGAAATCTCTTCCAGCCGGCTGGCCTTGCGAGTCATCCTCATATATATTGTCGGGCACAGCGAGTCGGCAGTGCGATTCTCGTCGGCCACATGCAGTAGCAGTTGTCTGATATCATTATTTTTGACGTCCTCAGTGCCTTCCGTAGCTGTCTGGCTCGAGAGTGTGCTGGTCTCTTTTTTTTTCTCGCGGTCGTGGATTGCCTGCTTCGGCGCCATGTCTCTGTCGAGGCAGCTCGCTTTGCCGAAGGCGTGCCCCCTCCTGAAGCACATGCCGGCCCTCCCCAAACACGCCACTGAGGACGAGCAGATCGAGCATAGGGCTTTCGTCGACGCGGTCCAGATTCTGTGGAACTACCCGAAGGAGCGGAAGCGGACGGTGACGAAGCTTACAAACAAGTTGACGGGGCACCAGGAGAGCGACATTGAGCATCAGTTTCAGGTGGCGCCCGACACGATCGGGGACCTGGACTACGATTGGCTCGTCCAGTGGGCCAAGAAAACGTTCAAGCTGTCGGACACGGTTCTGGCGCGCATGAAAGTTTACGATTCGCAGGCGCTCCCGAACGTCTTCCGCTTGAAGCACAATCTCGCGAAGGGTCTGAAGTGCCACCCCGCTCTGCAAAGCAAGTTGGTGTTGCATCGCGCCGTGGCCATTCGTTCCGATGAGACAGCCAACAAGTACCTGTCCGACCTCACTTCCGGCGGGGCTCGTCCCACTGTGAACCCAGACACAGGTGCCGTGGCGTGGGGGAGCATCGGCCTTTTCGGCATGGTCTTCGACGCCAATCAGAAATGCACCAAGTTTGTGTACAAGCCCACGGCGTACGCGGTTGATGTGAGTGCCGAATACGAGATCACTGAAGCTTGGGACATCGTGTACAATTGGAGCCACACCCGTGCCGTCGTGAAGAAGAACGCCGTGCAGTCGTATCCCATCCTCAAGTTTTTCAAACACCACAAGGGGAACTCAAAGAACCCCCACTCTGATATGCCTCTGGGTGGTTCCAACACGTTGTGGGACGACATCGTCAAGCGTTCCGTCCAGCAGGTCGATGAGCAGAAGCAGTCAGCCACCGTCGGCGCCACGGAGGGCCCGTCGCCTGAGTTCAAGAAAGAGATCCGCGAGCAGAACAAGGCGGCGACCAAGCGCTCGATGGACAAATTGCAGGAAGCTGCCGCGAAGCGGGCTGCCAAGCGTGCCTGCAAGGGGTCCGCCGCGAAGGTGGCGGCGCCCGCCGCCGCCCAGCCCTGAGCGGCCACTCGATGCAGTGGCGCTGCTCAGGTTGGCTGGGCGCCCTGCTCTTGGTTTCAAAGCACGCAGTGCGCAGCTGGGGGTGCAGTTGCGCAGCTCTGAGGGTGCCGTCGCGGGCACGCGAGCGTCGGCGAGGGGGCGCTTCCGCGATGGGTGGCGGGCGTTCTCTCCTGGGCTCCTGGGGTGTGCGACGCAATAGGCGGCACCGCGAGCGTTTTCCGCGACAGGGAGGCAGCGTGGCTCTCGCGCTGTCTGGCGTTGTTCTGCTCTGGTCGGGGGCCGCCCAGAAAAAATCATCATCGTTATCATGCCCTCCGTTCCCCCCCCTCTCTGTCCTCCCCGCCGCCTGCGGCGCCTCTCACCGGAGCCCCTCCCTTTCGGGAGGCCTCAGGGGGGGCCTAACGGGGCCTCTTGGAGTACAGAGGAAAACGTAGTTACAATCCGAGTTCTTTTATCACGACTCGTGTGTCGCTCCTATAGGGGGCCCCTATGGCTTCTCCAAGGGGAGGAGGGGTCGGGGCTTCCTGGTGTTCTTGGGGCCTCTCGGGGCCTTGCGGGGGCCTCTCGGGACGTCTTGGGGTTCAAGGGAAAACGTAGTTAGAATGCGAGTTCTTCTATCACGATTCGTATGTCGTTCCAATAGGAAATCCCTATGGTTTCTCGAAGGGCAGGACGGGACAGGGCCTCCTGGGGGCCTCTTGGGGCCTTGCGGGGGCCTCTTGGGGCGTCTTGGAATGCAAGGGAAGACGTAGTTAGAATGCGAGTTCTTCTATCACGACTCGCGTGTCGCTCCTACAAGGAACCCCTATGGCCTCTCGACAGGGAGGAGAGATCTGGGCCTCTTGGGGGCCTCCTGGGGCCTCTCGGGGGCCTCTTGGGGCGTCTTCGGAGTGCAAGTGAAGACGTAATGAGAGCCGGAGTTCTTTTTTCACGACTTGTGTGTCGCTCCTATAGGAGACTCCATAAGGTTTCTCGAAGGGGAGGAGGGGTCAGGGCCTCCTGGAGGCCTCTTGGGGCCTCTTGGGGTTTCTCGGGGTTCTTTTCGGGCGTCTTGGAGTGCGAGCGAAGACGTAGTTAAAATGCGAGTTCTTCTATCACGACTCGTATGTCGCTCCTATGGGCTATAGGGATCCCCTATGGGTTTTCGAAAGGGGGGAGGGGTCAGGGCCTCCTGGGGGCCTCTTGGGGCCTTCGGGGGGCCTCTTGGGGCGTCATGGAATGCAAGGGGAGACGTAGTTAGAACGTGAGTTCCTCTATCACGACTTGCGTGTCGCTCCTATAGGGAACCCGTATGGCTTCTCGATGGGGAGGAGAGATCAGGGCTTCTTGGGGGCCTCCTTGGGCCTCTCGGGGGCTTCTTGGGACGCCTTCGGAGTGCAAGGGAAGACGTAGTTAAAATTCGATGTCTTTTATCACGACTCGTGCGTCGCTCCTGTAGGGGACCCCTGTGGCCTCTCGAAAGGGAGGAGGGGTCAGCGCCTCCTGTTTTTTTGGGGCCTCTTGGGGCTTCTCGGTGGCTTCTCCCGGCGTCAGGGAGTGCAAGAGAAGACGTAGTTAGAATCTGACTTCTTCTATCACGACTCGCGCGTCGCTCCTATGGGCTATAGGGAACCCCTATGGCCTTTCGAAAGGGAGGGGGGGGGTGAGGGCCTCCTGGGGGCCTCTTGGGGCCTCTCGGGGGCCTCCTTGGGGCGTCTTGGAATGCAACGGAAGACGCAGTTAGAATGCGAGTTCTTCTATCACGACTCGTGTGTCGCTCCTACAGGGAACCCCTTATGGCCTCTCGACAGGGAGGAGAGATCATGGCCTCGTGGGGGCCTCCTGGGGCCTCCTTGGGCCCTCTTGGGGCGTCCTGGAGTGCAAAAGAAAACCTATGTAGAATGCGAGTTGTTGTAGAACGCTGCGTCTCTCGGCTTCATACGGCTCCAAAGGCCCCAAGAGGCCCCCAAGAGGCCCCCGAGAGAGCTTGAAGAGCGCTCCAAGAGACCGATAGCCTCCCAAGGTGGCTTCAAGAGGAGGACGACGACGATGATGATAATGATGATCAGGAGGGACGATGATGATGATGAGGGTGATGATGACCTTGCCCTTCCTTCCCTTACCCCGAAAATGGGGCCAGCAGTTACAGGGAGCGGGTGCGGTGAGACCCCGCCTGCTGGCCCAGTTTTCGGAGTGGGGGCGGGGAGGGTGGTCCCGAAGTTGGCTCGAAGATGTGCGAGGATCCCAGCGTTGTCTCCATGATGTGAGAAGAGCAGAAAGTTGTCTCTGACCTTGCTCTTCCTTCCCTTACCCCGAAAATGGGGCCAGCAGTTACAGGGAGCGGGTGCGGTGAGACCCCGCCTGCTGGCCCAGTTTTCGGGGTGGGGGCGGGGGGGGGGGGTCCCGAAGTTGGCTCGAAGATGTGCGAAGGATCCGGGGGGTCTCAGGGGATCAGGGGCCAAGGGTCCGCAAGACAGCCCAGGCAATACACCGCTTTCATTCGCGTGCCAATTATGCGCGAATGGCATACAATCAATAGTTCCTCGCAACACAGTGTTGCACCAGACACACAAGAGGAGGAGGAGGAGGAGGAGGGAGGAGGACGAAGAGGAGGAGGAGGAGGAGGAGGAGGAGGGGGAGAAGGAGGAGGAGGAAGAGGAGGATGATGAGGGGGAGGAATACAGTAAACAATAATAGGAGGACGAGCAGCAGCATCACCAGGAAGAGGAAAGGAGGAGCGACAGGAGGAGGAGGACGAGGAGGAGGACGAGGAAGGAGGACAAGGAACAGAGGGAGGAGGAGGAGGGAAAGGAGGAAAAGGAGGATGTGGAGGACGACGGGGGTGAGGAAGAGGAGGAGGAGGAGGAGGAGGGGAGGAGGAGGAGGGGCGGAGGAATAGAAAGAGGAGGTGGAGAGAGGAGGAGGAGGAGGAGGAGGAGGAGGAGGAGGAAGAGGAGGAGGAAGAAGAGGAGGACGATGGTGAGTTGCCCTGCAGCACCACCTCCTTCAAGGCACGGTGTTCGAGGCTAGCCGTGGGTATCCCCGAGGTGGCTCCTCGTCTGGTCCTGCCACAGTGGATTCAGCGATTTGGGTTTGTCCAAGGCTGGAAAGGTGGAGTCTGCGGAAGCTGGCGGGAGCAAAACGTTACGGAGACACGTGCAGAGTGCGCAAATTTGGGCTGTCCGGTGCTGGGCACCGGGTCGAGGCGGAAGCTGGCGGAAGCAAAGTTCAACCACTGCATGATGATAGCGGATGGGTTGGCCCTCCTGTGCCGACGCAGGGGTGTGCGATGTAGGCACGATTCTCTGCGCCGCGTGAGCCTCGTGAGCACAATGGAATTCACTCGCCTTTCGTGGCCCCTGTGCCCCATGAGGGCCACGAATGGCCTCAAAGGGCCATTGAGCTCGCGTGCCCTTGTGCCTCATGGGGCCAGGGGCTCGGGGGCTCAATGGTCACTTGCCGTAGCCGTTTGGGCTCAAACCTGTCTGGCCGAGGCAAACAGCGCCAGTCCGACAAATGGTCGGAACGGCTGCGCCCTCGAAGCCCCCGCCGGCCGCTGAGGACGACGCGGGGTACGAGGAATGCCCTACGAAAGATGTGATACTTGTGCCACCCCGCACCGCGGATGGGAGGTGGGAACTCATCCACCCTGTCACGCTCGAGCAGCAATTCCTCCCGCAGCCAGTGGAACATTGGCAACTAGATGTTGATGACGACGGTTGGGCTTGCCTGTCTGACGTCGGGTCCGACGAGACGATTTTGCCAGAGGTCGTGCTTAAGCGGTGTTTGGAGGTCGACAAGCACGGGGAGCGTTTCTATTCTGAGGTGCGGAAGGGAAAGACGGTCAGGTTCAGCTTGTATGATTTGCAACAAAAGTACAGGACGCTCACAGTGACCGTTGGGATCGGGGCGATCCGCGCTGCGGTGAGTCTGCAAACTTTCTACCTCCCGTGGCCTTTGCCTGGGAACCTCCATTTCGCTTGGAACGCCCATAACGTGTACACGGTGCTGCAATTGACGAGCTACAAGAAACAACCATCCAAATGGGCTTTCCAGAGCAGCGGCACATGGCGCCGCCATTGCAGCGAATTCGGGTTGAGCCGACAAATTCTTCACAGCAGCCACAGTGGAGAGGGCGAGGATCGCACCGTGGACGCTGATTATTTTTTGCCTGCGACGTGCTTGAGCACGTTTGGGCTTCTGCAGTGTTTGGCGAGGTGGACTCAGAAACCTCCGCAACACGGCGGTCTGCATGCGAGGAGGGATGCAGTGGAAGAATTGCTCAGGGGCCTCCTCGCGGACACCGTGGAGCACCCAAAAGTTTGCAAAGCTCTCGACGTGCACTTCTCGGATGACTTCCGCTGGACGTGGCCGGAGCCGCGTCCGCAGGCCCACGTGGCGCTGTCGGTGCTCGACGGCAAGGTGGATCTGCGCGCGTGGCGGGACCACAGGGACCTAGAGACGTCTTCTGGCATCATGTCCCGGGCAGAGGGGGCCGAATCACTGTCCAAACCATCCGCTCGCGACGTGCCGTCCCAGGGGGCGGGGCGCCTTCAGGGAGCGGCCCGTCCGCCTGTGCCGGCCCCTCGCTTGGAGGTGGATTGGGATTTGGTCTTGCTCCGCCAGTGTCAGGCATGGTGGGGCCTTCTGCGCTTGGATGACACTTCAGAGACGATCCTGCTTCGGGACCTTTTCTGCCTGTCGATGAGGTACTGCACTGAGAGAACCGGTGGTCCGCTCTTCGTTCAGATCGCAGTACAATTGGCGCATTGCATTGAGAAGGACATATACCTGGCCGCCAACTACAAGAGCTCCGGAAGCCAGGTCAGCGCAAAGTTCGACAGTTTGTTGGACTTGATGGACGCACCGGACTCGCTCAACTGCGCCCTCTTGCGGCACGTCCTGGGGGGCGTTACCATGTCCGAGCAGTTCACGTCCATCTCCGTCGTTACCGACAAGGGCAACGCTTGCGGCTTGACTCTGGATGCCGGGGGCATCTTCTTCCCGAACAACACGTGCGCCATCGCAGTGCCTCAGGTTCCGCGCGCGGAACAGCCAGGGGCGCATCTCCAGGGCGACCGCCAGAGGGGGATCTCCCTCCTCCCTCCTCTCTCCTCCCTCGTCCCTCCTCCCTCTCTCCTCCCTCCTCCCTCCCTCCTCCCTCGTCCCTCCCCCCGGGCCCCTCCTCCCTCCCCCCTCCTCCCTCCTCCCTCCTCCCTGCTCCCTCCCCTCCATCCCTTCTCCTTCCTCCCTCCTTCGTTTTCCCTCTTCGCTCCTGCCTCCTCCCTCCTCCGTCCTTCTTCCTCTCTGATCTGTTCCTGATCTGTTCGGCCTCTGGAGGCCGTCTGCGGGGCTCCGGACCATGGGGAACGGATCCAGGCTGAAGCGTTGCGTGCGGGGCCCTGATCTGGTCGGCCTCTGGGGCCCCCCGGCGGTGCCCGGCCCAGAGGTAAAAAAAAAAAAAATCCAACTCATGGTGTATATGATTTTCCCTGTGTTTTTGCGGTATACACCATAGCGTCTTTCGACGCGTGTATGCCATCCTCGTGACTGTTGGGAATTCCGTATACACCATAGGGTCGGGGAATTTTTTTTTTTTTTACCTGGTTGCCCCCCCGGAGGTGGCCAAGGCGTTCCGGACCCCAGAGGAGGTGGAGCATTTCACGAAGTCTTCCGCAGCCCGGCGGATGAATCTACGTCATTTGCATTGGCTGCGCCGTAATGCTTCGACGGCAAAGGACAAGGGGTGGCGCCCCAGGCCTCGCTACCGCGTGTCCACGCGGAAATGGATCGAGTCGAAGGACAACATCATCGCCGTGGGGACGCGTTGGACCGGCCTGGCTGACTTTCAGAGGGCAGTAGGTAAGGGGCCCTGGCGCCCAGAGGGGTGGAGAGACCGCCCTCACCTCAACATGGCCCAGGACCGCGGCGGCGACGGGGCGAGCGCCGTCCAGTGCTTGGCCTACAAGTTAGGGATTAACGTCACGGAGTGGTGGGACGAGGACCACGACGTGAACAATGACATAATGAATGCGTACAAAGCCACTGGGTTGTTCCCGCTCGTTCTCACCTGGCTCTGCAGGCAGAACCTCATGCACGGCCCCGAGAAAGACAAGGACATGCGTTTCAACCAATTCACGGAAATGTCGTCGATGGTGTTCAAGGTCTTCACGCACGATTCTTGCGCCAGCTTCCGGGAGCACTCCAGTGGAATCCTGTCGGAGTTGAAGGGGGAGTTCGAGCCATCCACCCCCGCCACAGCGGAGAAAGAGCTCTGGGCGCACTTGAGGGAGCGGGAGCATGGCGCGACGCAGGGCCGTCGCGTTTCTTTGTGTCGTTTCGGGGCGTGGGTCAAGGCGAACGTGGGACTGTTGAAGGACCACGCGGGACGACGAATGAGGGCCCTAGTGGACACTGCCCCAACTGCACTTGCGCAAGCCTCGGAGGGCCTAGGCCTTCCGATGTATTTTGTTGTCCCGAAGGGCCTCTGGAGGCATCCGGGACCTCTCGTGTGTCGCTCCGAAAGGGAACCCTTATGGCCTCTCGAATGGGAGGAGGGGTCGTGGCCTCTCCTGGGTCCTCTTGAGGCCTCTTGGGGCCCTCTCGTGAGCCTCCTGGGGCGTCTTGGAATGCAAGGGAAGACGTAGTTAGAATGCGAGTTTCTCTATCACGACTTGCGTATCGTTCCTACAGGGTACCCCTATGGCCTCTCGAAAGGGAGGAGAGATCAGGCCCCTAGGGCCTCTGGTCTCAAGCCAATTGCCAAGACCCAACTGATCCAGAAGCCTTGCCTGGTCCTCAGGCTCGTCCCAAGACGTGGTTAGAAGTTCCCAGAATCAAAATACTATGGCGGCGCCCGCGGGGGGGTGCGCGCCCAGAGGGAGGAGAGACGCGCCCAGAGGGAGCGGAGACCAGCGCCCAGAGGAGGGAGGCCGCGCGGAGTTGTGAAGGAATGCCCCGCCAGATTTCGATTCCCGCGCTTCCGCCTTGAGCCTTCAACCTCGAGCCTTCAGGATGATGATGACCTTGCCCTTCCTTCCCTTACCCCGAAAATGGGGCCAGCAGTTACAGGGAGCGGGTACGGTGAGACCCCGCCTGCTGGCACAGTTTTCGAGGTGGGGGCGGGGAGGGGGGTCCCGAAGTTGCCTCGAAGATGTGAAAGGATCCCAGCGTTGACTCGAAGATGTGAGAAGAGCAGAAAGTTGTCTCTGACCTTGCCCTTCCTTGCCTTACCCCGACAATGGGGCCAGCAGTTACAGGGAGCGGGTACGGTGAGACCCCGCCTGCTGGCCCAGTTTTCGGGGTGGGGGCGGGGAGGGCGGTCCCGAAGTTGGTTCGAAGATGTGCGAAGGATCCGGGGGGTCTCAGGTGGGTCAGGGGTCGAGGGCCCGCATGATGGCCCAAGCAAAACCCCGCTCTCATTCGCAGACCAACCAAGCCCGAATGTCATACAAGTAAAAGACTCTCGCACCACATTGTTGCACCAGACCCAGAAGAGGAGGAGGAGGAGGAGGAGGAGGAGCAGGAGGGAGGACGAGGGGGACGAGGAGAAGGAGGAGGAGAAGGGAGAAGGAGGAGGAGGAAGAGGAGGATGATGAGGGAGAAAAGAGGAAACAATTATAGAGGGACGAGCAGCAGCATCAACAGGAAGAGGAAAGGAAGAGGCGCAGGAGGAGGAGGAGGACGAGGAGGAGGACGAGGAAGGAGGTCGAGGAGCAGAGGGAGGTGCAGGAGGGAAAGGAGGAAAAGGAGGATGCGGAGGACGAGGGGGGGAGGGGGAGGAGGAGGAAGAGGAGGAGGACGAGGGGAGGAGGAGGAGGAAGAGAAAGAGGGGGTGGACAGAGGAGGAGGAGGAGGAGGAAGAGGAGGAGGAGGAAGAGGAGGAGGATGCTGAGTTGCCCCGCAACACCACCTGCTGCAAGGCAGGGTGTTCGAGGCTGGCACGTCTTGGGCTTTCCCTGACGCCTCCGCGCAAGTTTTCCCGGCCGAGGCGCTTCTGGTGCAGTCTTGCAGCCCCCCTGAGCAGGAGTGGGAGTTGATGCTGTGGAAACTGGAGATCTTGTGCGTGGAAATGGATTTTTTGGGCACCGGCAAGTTCGCCACGACGGTGCTGAAGTCCACGCACGCAGAGGCCGCTGGCGATTTGAGCGGAGGCACGACTGCTGCCTGCCACGATGGGAAGGTGCTCCGTTCGTGCTGCCAGAACGCAGCTGTTGTTTCCTTGGTCCTGATGAGTGTCCGTGATAATCGGCGCCGCATCGCCATCATGACGTCTCTGGCTGTCCCTCTCGTGGACGCCTCAGGAGGGTTCAACCGCGACTGCAGGTCTGTCGGTGGAAACCTTGCTTGGGCGCGTGGTCAAGTCGAGGGGCGCTTCATGGACACGCTGAGGCTCGTGTTCGGCGCGTTGCTCGACGATGACACGTTGTCCGAGTGCGGATTCGAGATGGGCGTGCTCCCTGGGGACTTCGACGAGCACCGGGAGTTCGTGGAAGACCAGTGGGCGAACCTAATGGGGACGCTGTGCCTCAGGATGGTTGGGAACAGGACGAAGCGCAGGAGTTTCATGTTCGGGTGGCCCCACAAATTGATTGGTCTTGTCGGGGAGGTTGCGCCTGACCGGAAGCAGCGCATACTCGACGCATTCAGGAATGATCTCGACTCCTACGAAGCGATGAGACGGCACGACAAGCCAGGCGAAGTGAAGTGGCACCTCTCCCGTTCCCAATTCAAGCGGGCAAACGTTGAACAATACGTGGATTGCTTCACGGAGAAGCAGTGGCTCTTGGACCAAGAGTCCGGGGATTGGCTGAGCGACCGGTTCCACGGGGTGTTCGCCACGCACTTCAGCGAGGAATTCTTCGGGTATGCGAAGAACGCCAAGCAAGTGAAAGGTTCGAAAGTTTTCCGCAAACCGGAGCGAAGCATGGGGATGGCACTGGCGAACCACTTGCCATCGAAGAGGCACAGGTACGTGGAGGTCGATGACGGGGTCCCTGCTTCCAGGAAAAAGGCGAGGTTGAGCGCGGAGGCATTCGGGAAAACACCTTTGAAACCATCCGCGGACTTGGGTGGCATTGCAACGACGCATGCAGCAGCCCCGTATTACTCCCCGAAGGCCGTCAATCTCGCGACGCCAGTTGGAGATCTGCATCTAGTTCGTTACTGCAAAGAGTTCTGCGGTTTCTCGAAGCTCAGCAATGCTGTCTGCAGCGCTGCGTCGGACTGCCTTCCGTTCGTCTTGAGGAGGAAGGACACGGATCCGCCAACGAAGGGTTCGACATGGTATTTGGGCCTCGGTAATTTCCCGAATTCGGCGGCGATTGCGTGGCAGATCCAGCTGAAGGCCGTGCCTGGGCACGACGACTTCTGGTACGTTGACCCGACGAACGACAACGTAGAACCCGTCTTCCTGCCAATGGTGGACTTGGATGACTTCCTCGTGCGCCCGTTCGAGTGGCGCTCGCCGGCGTGGCAGCGCCGCCACTTGAAGAAGGCGCCTCCTGGCTGGCACAAGGGCGTCCGCATGATCGTGGATGCCGCAGAGGACATTCCGCTGAAAACACTTGCAGCGAGGGAGTGCTTCTGGAACTGGGAGTTGTCATTCCTTGTTTGGTTGGCGAAGATGTTTGGGATCCCCGTGAGGGGCCATGCCTCCAGCCTCCTTGAAGTCATTGTGTCCCTTATCATGGGCATTTTGGAGTGCTCCGAGGACGAGGCGTTGGGCATCGCGAAGAAGCGCGTCGCGGCGCTGGTGCAGGACACCGTTGCCTTGGACGAGTTGCTGGAGATAGAGGAGGCGGAGAAAGTGCTGACGAATGACGACATCGAGAAGCTTCACAAAGAGCAGAAGAAGTACGCGGCCAGGAAAGGCGTGCAGGACGACCTTGTGCGGGAGTTCACAGTCGTGCAGATGTCTCGCCGCAAGGCGCGGGAGGAGGCCGAAGCAAAAGCTGCGAAGAAGGAGAAGAAAGATAAGAAAGACAAGAAGGATAAAACAGATAAAAAAGCCCCTCCGCCGGAACCAGTCGCGCCGACAGCGCTACCGATTGGGATCGATCACAAGGACGCGAACAAGTACAAGCCTCCAGGGTCGTACATCTGGCGTTCCTTCCGCGGTCAGGCCTGGCAGGGGCGCGTGCCTCCAGCAGGGATTGTGTCACGGAGCTGGCAGAAGTATGGGGGCTACAATCACGCTTTGAGGGAACTGATCAAGGAGCTGTGGAAGGTGCACTGCGTCCTGGAGGGCTACGACCCGAGGGAGTGCCCCATGGCAGGCGTGTTCGACCAGGAGGTCCTGGCGCCGATGGCGTCCTGATGGGAGCCGGAGTCCCTTCCTCCAGCGCATGTGCTGAGCCCTGGTGAGTTGGCACCGCCCCGTGAGTCTGTGGCGCCAATGCTTGGCGTGGCTTCTGCGCGCTCGCACTGCAGAGGACGCCTTTTTTGAGGGGGCGGCCTGGGAGGCACAACAGAGGAGCAAAAAAGAACCCGAGACTCTTGGGCCTTGCAAAGCACAACAACGACGACGACAGCGGCGGCGGCGGCGGCGACGAAGACTACGACGACAGCGACGACGACGGCTGCGGCGACGACGGCGACGACGGCGAGGACGACGACGACGACGACGACGACGACGAAGGCGACGACGACGACGACGACGACGACGACGACGGCGACGAAGGCGACGACGACGACGACGACCACGACCACGACCACGACAACGACCAGGACGACCACGACGACGACGCCGCCGCCGCCCCGAGGGGCCGACGTGGCCTCAAGGGGCCAGCGAGAAGGCCCCCAGGGGCCGGGGACGCCTCCAGGGGCTGTCGGCCCCAGGAGGTCCCCGCGAGGCTTCCAGGGGCCGACGACGGAGGCTTCCGAAACCCCAGGAGGCTTCCGCGAGGCCTCCAGGGGCGTTCGGGGGCCTCTGTGAGACTTCCGTGGGACCTCCGTGGGACTTCCGCGGGGCCGCCAGGGGGATGGAGGTTCGCAGCCCGTGCAGAAACGGGGGTGACACCTCGTTCGGCAGTCGGTTGGCGCGCGTGGCCGGCTGCGCCCCGTAACCCCGCCTCCCGCGGGACGCCCTGGGGCCACCCCGCCGGAGGTCGTCGTCGTCGTCGTCGTCGTCGTCGTCGTTGTCGTCGTATTCGTCGTCGTCGCCGCCGCCGCCGTCGTCGTCGTCGTCGTCCATCATCGTCGTCGCCGTCGTCGTCGTCGTCGTCGCCGCCGCCGCCGCCGTCGTCGTCGTCGTCGTCGTCGTCGTCGCCGCCGTCGTCGTCGCCCAACATCGTCGTCCGTCGTCGTCGTCGTCGCCGCCGCCACCGCCGCCGTCGTCGTCGTCGTCGTCGCCGTCGTCGTCGTCGTCGTCTTCGTCGTCGTCGTCGTCCGTCGTCGTCGTCGCCGT